GGACTTTGTAGTCAGGTTGTTATTGGTTCAAATCCCAGTCTAGATACTTAACGGTTATCCAACCTAGAACATAATGCCATAATGCCTAACAGCTCCAACCTAGAACATATTGGCTAACGTCTCCAAATGGGTTTTCTTAATGCTAAATAATAAAATGAAAATACCACAGTATCTACCTCAAGGGGTTTTCTCTCTCTCTCTCTCTCTCTCTCTCACACACACACACACACACACACACAGGAGCGCCTGAACCACAGCGAACATTCATTGCTATTATCATCCAATTCCCTTCCTTCTGGTTGCTTGGTATATCTATTTGGGTGGTTCTTTTCTCTCCTTGCTCTCATCTATTCCTAGGACTTCAAGGAGCTGAAAACTTACAATTCTGTATCCTTCAGTAACAGAGCTCCTCTGGAGTTTCAGGAACTTTCTACACTTGGTGCCTTTACTTGTATTTCCTCCTATCTGGATGCTTTGCAACCACTCCAGTGAACAATTTACACCTGCGGAGCTGATTCTTCCCGGATGTTTGGACAGAACCTGTCACTCCTGGACTAACAGTACTCTTCTCTACATCATCACTTTGGAACGTGGCTAATTATCTGCACCAGGTAGGGAAAAACCAACAGTTAAAACTCAGAAGGGTTAAGGGTTATCACATAAAATCTTCCTCAAGATAACTACGCAGGTCACACAGCTGACAAATAAGAATTCAGACTCTGAGGCCTGGCATGGTGGCGCACACCTTGAATCCCAGCTCTTAGTAGGCAGAGGCAGGCGGACCTCTGTAAGATGGGAGGCCAGCCTAGTCTACATAACAAGTGCCAGGCCAGCTGGGGCTGCAAGGAGTCTGTCTCAGAAAAAAAGAATTCGTGCTCTGCTAGTGATTTCAGAGCTGTTGCTCTTAATCACGAGCCTGTAATTTAAATGTAAACAAATGGTCTGTGACTAGAAGTATTAACTGCTAGACAAAAAACATTACTAAGCGGTCAGGAGCACTGGCTGCGCTAGCAGAACACCCGGGTTCGAATCCCAGCACCCACATGGCGGCTGACGCGTATTAACTGCTAGACAAAAAACATTACTAAGCGGTCAGGAGCACTGGCTGCCTAGCAGAACACCCGGGTTCGAATCCCAGCACCCACATGGCGGCTGACGCCTTCTTCTGACCTCCACGGGCATTGCATGACAGGGGTACACTTACATACATGCCGGCAACGCACTCATACACATAAAATAAATTTTAAAAAATTACTGTATCACGTGGATAAATCAGATCCCTGGGGGTGACAGCCAAAGGGACGCACAGAAGGGAGGGTTCCGCTCAGGGCATTAAACTAAGGCTCTGGAAAGTCCACTTGGGGTTCACAGCGCCCGGGGGTGAGGGGAAGGAGCGGGAAAGGTAGGGCAAGATGGGCGCAGGGGTGCGCGCGGAGCTGCTAGGGAAGCCGGGGTTGGGCGGGACGCTCCCCGCCCACAGCCCTGGCCTGCACCCTGCGCTCCTACCGCTGCAATCCGAGCGCTAGGGCCGCCGTGGACCGCGGAGCTGTTTCTCCACGCTCGCCTTCCCGCTTCCGGTTCAAACGCGGCTAGACCACACAGCCAGGGTCTCAGGAGGGAGTAGCGGCGGCGAAAATCGCGGGGTGGCCTGCACATGCGCACAGCGACACGCGTGCCCCTACACAAAACATTCGCTCCCCTCAGGACTTTCGCCTCGTCTGAGCAAACGCGCCTGCGCACAGCGCACCAATGACGAACGATCTCTCGCCGGCGACCCCGCCCTCGGGCTTGTGCTCCCACACTCCGCTTCCTCCCCGCCAACGCAAAGGCCGGAAATGATGACAATTCTGAGGAGAACGGAGGCGGGTTTCATTTCGGCGCCTTTCTTTCTCCGGCCGAAGCGATTGGCGGGTGAGGAGTGAAAGAGGCGGGACGAGTTGCCGCGGGTTCACTGCCGCCTCTGGGACCGGGAGATGCGGCGGTGCCGAAGCTATCGCCGCCTTCGCTTTTCTTTGAGTCTTGTCCGTTCTGGCGGCTCCTCGCGCGGCTCGGATCATGCTGCTACCCTCGGACGTGGCCAGGCTGGTATTGGGTAAGCGCGGACGCAGGAAGGACCCGGCTGAGCAGGACGAGCAGATAGAGGAGGGGGCTGAGGTGGGGGTTGGGGGGCGCCTCCTGGGGTCCCGCGTCCAAGGCTGGCGGCGATGTGGGTCCGTCGGGGGCGCGGGTGGCTTCCGCCTGGCGGGCGTGGATGCTGCTTGGAGCTCCGCGCCGCTGGGCGTACAGCACCCGGGCCTGCATTCCGAGGGAGGGCCGGGCTCGCCCCGGAGCCGGGACCCCTGCTGTAAGTACTTAGTCTACGTGACGGCTGGGGCTGCGAAGCCCGCGCCCTTCCTGGGCAGAGCTGGGACCAAAAAAGGAAAACAAAAAAATAGCACTTCCCTGGCCACCCCGCTTGCGGGGAAGACTTTTCCCGACGGGCTTCCCCTACCCGGCGTCTGCCTTGGGGTTTTGGGACAAATGGAGGTGATCGTTCTCCATCCTCCCCGCAGTAGGCGGTGGACACCAGTAGCATTTCCCATTTTTGGATGAGAAAATTTTCAGAAGGGAACTGCCTTCCACTCAGCGCGCTTTTTGGCCCTACTTTTCCTCCATTTTTGAAGAGGGAGAGTTCCTAGACCACTGGGCTGTTGGCGGGTATTGTCTGTGAACGACGGTTTTTGTTGTTTGTTCCCAAAAGAATGATCGGGATTGTACTGCTCGGAACTAGAGCCGTTTAAGCCCAAAACTCTGGGCAATGACATAAAAACATGGGACATTAGAAGTAAGTGCTGATTGAGCCTCCCCTGGTATCCCCAGCGACTCCCTACCATTTTGCTTTGTGCCTTTTTAAAATACCCACCCTGTTTGCCACCCCAAAATTTGTACAGGGCTCTTGATAAGCACAGGAAATATTTAGGGGCTACAAATGGTTCCACGGTCCATTTTTGGAGAAAATTGGAATAAAGAGAAAAACTAATGTGGATGTTTAATATTTTTCTTACTGTATCTTAGTACATCCTACTGAATTGAGCATCTTAGTTAACCTACATCTGTATCAGTGATTTTAAAAGCTGCCTATCTTGTATTTGTTAAATTTGTTAGGCTTTTATGTAGATGAAGGAAAAGTAGACCCCATCGGTACATTATGTTCCTGTCTTTTTTCCCCCTCTGTATATTGCTTGTGTAAGAATTGTTACTTTTAGCAGTCTGGTGATCCAAATGACTTTGTAATTGTAATCTTAAAAAATGGTTTCTTGGGGCTGGAGAGATGGCTCAGTGGTTAAGAACACTGGTTGTTCTTGCAGAAGACCCGGGTTCGAATCCCAGCACCCACATGGTCGCTAACAACTGTCCTTAACTGCAGTTCCAGGGGCTCCTACAGCCTTTTCTGTCTTCCACGGGCATTGCACAACACAGGTGGCACTTACCTACATGCAGACAATACATGCATACACAAAATAAAAAAATATTTTTAAAAAGGGTTTCTCAAGCTTGGCGCTATGGACATTGCAAAGCAGGTAATTCTTGCCGTTCTGATTTTATGGGATATTAAACAGCATCCCTGACTTCTGCCCACTGGATGCCAGTAAGACATCCATCCCCAATCATTCCCAGCTCTAAGAAGGAATAAAATGTCTCTACATGTTGCCTGCTGGTGAATCCCCTGGAGAGAAAGTCTCCCCTTGTTAAGAAAATTAAAGTGGTATGATTTTCTAATTAGAATAATTAACCAAATTATGTTTTCTCCTACTAACAAGCTGTTTTACTTGACTTCCTATCTTCCTTTTGATGGATAGAAACTCAAGCTATTGTTTTTATCCTTAAAATCATCTTTGTTGTTCAGATTCCTTTTTCAGGGCCTTGAGTCCCAGCATGCCTCCCTCCCCTTCTATTTGGAATTGTGATGACTTCCCTCTATTCTTTCTTGAAATTCATGAGTTTTTTTCTCTTACTGGAAATCTTCCTGAAGCAGTCACCTCACACCATATATTCTAGAGTTGAAACAATTTAGAACTTAGGGTACCAAAACACCTCTCTACACTCACTTCTCTTCTGTCATTTAGCATTGTTTGTCTCTTATACATAAGTATGCTTCTCTTGTTTGTTTGTTGTGTTCTTCTATTGCACCCCCTTTCCATCTTTAGCCTCTCTGTTGACCCTTCACGTTTTTTTCAGCATGTTTCAAATACTGCGAGTTTCTAAACATAAAGACGTAAGTTTTCTTCTCTCAGCATTCACTTGTTTTTTACCCTTCAACATCAGAACATTTTTCTGAGCCCTATCTCACATTACTCAGTGTTCTATGTTGCCCTTTCATAGGTAGATTTAGTCATAAAACAGTATTTGTTACTTGGTTGCACTACTGTTTTGCTTCCCTCTAATTCTCCAATAGACTGTACTCTGAATTTTATGCCTCACTACTCAAGTAGCCCTGGCTACTCAGCCATAGCCAGCTATTTGCCATGATGGAATTTAAAAAAAAATATGTGTAGACCAAAATGCATCAAACTGTTGTTTACTGCTTACTCTGGGCCATCAGTTTGGATTTTATCAGTATGTCATATATAGAAAGTGCTCTGTGGAACCCAGCCTACTTGGTCTCTGCTGAGTCTCATCTCACTATTTGCTCTGTGCTGCAGGCATGCCAAACTACTCAAGTTTCTCCACATGTTCTTATGTGTTCTGCTTGTCTTTGTCTTTCCAGTATACTTGTATTCTAGGTTCAAGTCAAATGTGATCTCTGAAACCTCTTCCAGCAGCTATAATTATTCATCAAATGTCTTATTGAAATAACTGTTGGATGAGGGGTTTGGGGAGCACTATTTGCTCTGTGCTGCAGGCATGCCAAACTACTCAAGTTTCTCCACATGTTCTTATGTGTTCTGCTTGTCTTTGTCTTTCCAGTATACTTGTATTCTAGGTTCAAGTCAAATGTGATCTCTGAAACCTCTTCCAGCAGCTATAATTATTCATCAAATGTCTTATTGAAATAACTGTTGGATGAGGGGTTTGGGGAGGTAGTTTTGTTTTGTTTTGGTGATACACATATAAAATTAACCATTTTCGCAATTTTTAAATTTATAGCTATGTGGTATTAAGTACATTCTACACCTATCACTACCATTCACCTCTAAAACTTTTTCTTCTTCCAAAACTGAAACTTCTTGTTTTATTTAGTAATCTTTCTGTTGAATTAACGGACAAGCTTCAAGAGCTCTTAGGAACCTCCCAAATGGTAAAAATTTTATGTATAAAAGGGGACATTTTTTGTTTGTTTGTTGATCTTTTTTGAGACAGGGTCTCCCTGTAGCCCCAGCTGTCCTGGAACTCACTATGTAGACCGGGCTGGCCTTGAACTAACAGAGATACGCCTGCCTCTGCCACCCGAGTGCTGGGATTAAAGGCGTGCACCACCACGCCCGGCATAAAAGGGGACATTTTTATGATTGAAGAATCAAAATTTTTCTTCAATTTCCTAAATAAGTTTGTTACTTTCTATAAGAGTCGGTATCCATTCAGAAAAGAAAACAGAAATTGTGTGTTTAACATGGTAGGATTTAATGAGGAAATTGGTTACATTTGTTACAGAAGCTAAGATGCTGAACTGCTTATGTGAGGCAGCTGAGAGGTTAGCATGGCAGAAACCCATGCTAATCCAGAAGACCAGACAATATAAAGCAACCTGAGGCAACTTTGTGGAAGCTGGTACTAGAGGCTTGTCTGTTACGGGAGCTATAGTCAGCAGAGACTCTGCTGAGGCAATCAGTGAACAGGCTTTTTCCTGCAACTCCAATCTGATACAAGTGCCTATTTGGTATCCTAGCCAGAAGCTAGCTGACAGGTGAGCCAGGTAACCTCCTGATTGGGCTGAAGCTTCCTTTCATACAGTAGAGTGGAGGAAGAATGAAAAATTGGTCTGGAGGCAAAAAGGAATAGGACTGGCAGGTACCCCAACAGATCAAAAGCCAC